ACGCACTCCGAGTCAACAGTACTACACTCTCCTGGTGAACTTCAATAGGTTTTATGACGTTAAAGGAAAACAAAAAGAGCGGTGACAACAGACGCTAATGAATCTCCACATCGTTACCGGATAGGTTAGGTTCCATCTTGATCAAAGCGGAAATCAACCGTAAACAAGTTGGCGCGGTTTTGTTGCACGGAGAAGACGTATAAGCAGAGTTCCCACTTCATAAGGACCAGAAGAGATTCGTGCAGCTTTTTTACAACAGTAGCCCTTAGACGAAACTTCAAGTCAGTCTCGGATGACAACGGGTAAACGCCAAAGCGAATTAGGCATGTAAACGAGATAAAAGCAACACGTGTTAGAATGTCCTTAACGAACACGGTTTCACGGGGTTGAAGAAAGGTAGAGAAGAAGTACTTTCAAAAAGTATTTAGAAGACAGCATAAAGAATGAAGTGTTTCAGAGGACAAAAAGAAGCTGACAGAAGTCACCCCAGACGTCTCATGAAAAGTCAGAAAGATACGAAGGAAAACCAGTACCGCGGTGACTTCAGCGCTCTGCTTTGCTTGCCGATTTAAATAATATGGAATTTGGAAGCATTAATGTTGCTGAATTAACTAGGACGGATTAACTAGACGTGACAAAAAATGCAATCAACTTACATAAAAAGAAGGAAAAGTAACGGTTACGTACGAAAACAATTTGCGGTAGTGAGACTATTCAAGGTCAGACGATCAACACGAAAATTAAAAATAACTTTGGAGTATAATCGACCTTGTTATCCAGATTCCGCCCTAGTGAAAAGAGTGTGAGGATGGCCGAAAAGGTCGGGGTGTATAAAACATAACCTCAACCGATTCGCCGAGTCTAAGGGCAAACAAAGGGAGTAGAAAAAACTAATTCCACGAGAAGTTGTCGCTTACATTTTTCTCAGATTTTTCTGGTTCCTGGATATTGTTTTTACTCAAGTTGTCTGTCTTGAGATCCCCAGAAATCTCTTTGTTTTCTAGTTTATTTTGTAATCCTGGCTTTGGCGAAGACACAGAAGTCGCCGGAGGTTCAGATGGTTTCGGAGTAGGTTCATCAACCTTTGAAGACACCGACTCCTTACCATCGACAGGTTTCTCGGATACGGTTTCGGAGGAGGATAAGCCTTTACCTTCCTCGTCAGTATGAGCAAGATCAAATGGCTGCCGTACACGATCGGGTTTTCCGACCCCGGTGGAGGGAGCTGAGGGCGGCGATACCGACCGGACCGGCAGACTGGGGGAGAAGGAAGCACGACTACAGACATGTGATGGGAGGGGCAGGTTGGGAGGCACCCAGGTAGGTTTCGTCGAGATCTCACTTTCAACAGATGCACCATCGCCTGGCCTCGCGGAGTCAGCGATTGCCGATTGGGTTTCAGTATGTCCCTTAGAGTGCTTGGGGGCAATTCCACTGCCCAGAGCAGAGGATACGTTCGATGCTGAACCCCAAGAACCAGGAAATAGTCCTGAGGCCGGTTCACATTTACCCATATGCACACCCGCGGGACAGAAACGTGAAGTGGCACCTTCAACATTGGCTTGAGTAGCAATTGCGGCAGTGGCCGCACTAGCAGTCAAAGCCGCGCGAGGACAGCGCTGACAGGAGTGAACAGTAGTCTGCCAGGTGAGATCCACTGAACAAGCATAATAGATTGGCGTTCGTGAAGCCAAA